TTTGTTAGTGTCATTATAGGTGGTTACACTGATTTTTACTCGTTGTTGTGCTTTTTTACCATTTGAAAACTGCAAATTTTGGCTAACATAATGAACTTTATTCTAAATAAAATGCAAGGATTTCGGATATAATTTAATATAGATGAATGAATGCATTACATTAGCGAATTTATCCATGTGTCATTACAAAACAAAATCTACCTAGTGTACCTCTCTCGTACAAGATATGTTAAAAAATAAAAACATTTTTTTCTGTTTCTTCACATTCCCAGTACCAAATATCTGAATGAGGCAAACCTCAATAGGGTTCTGTGTGAGCAAACTGGAACTGGTAGAGCACTCAGTGCGGATGATCAACATATCATATGATTTTAAATGTTTGAGCGTGCGCTCGACTGGAACGCTGCAAGTGTACAAGTACACTTCCGGAGTGATTTGAGATTTGGGCGTTATTGCTTTTGTAAAAAAAACACGTCTATAGCCGATTTCTCGTGAATAAAATCTCATAAACAAGCTATGCCAAATGAAAGAGGAATACCCAACAAACAATTCAAAGTCACAAATAAGCATACACATTGAATAAATGCTGTATAACAGTGTGCAATGCTGAATAAAACAGGATGTCGAATTATGTGCTGAAAAAAGCTCATTGAGATCGATAGAAGCGCCTTTATTCCGCTGTTTGCTCTGATATGATTAATTTACTTATTAAAAGCTTTATAAACGTTGACTGTCTTCCTGATTCAGAACCAGAGGTTTGATCTAATAACAAACTGAATAAGTGTAATTTGCACATACATTGTCGCTTTAATTCGACTGTTTTCAATTGATTTAATAAAATGCTTTATTATACGTCTTATAAATGTTTTCTAGCTCCATTATTAGATTCCATTGCATTTCTTTACAATATTGCTGTATAAAGGTGAATACAGTCAGCAAAATAGCTCTTATACCACTATGCGTCCATGCTTTGTAAATGCTTTACAAACGGCGTATTCATTCTTTATTCCACAACACTGATTCAGGCTAACAACAAAACGAAATTGGTAGCATAGTGGTTACCGTTTCCGCTTTCCAAGTAGAAGGTCGCGAGTTCAATCCCAACCTCAACCCTTTTTTTTATTTATTTTCTACGCGTAATTAATTTAAATCGTAATCATAGATCGTATCACTCACGACAACCAATTCATAGATCTATTGAAAAGAATAGTATCCTTTCCATCGAAATGAGAGAGATGGAGAGGTAACGTTGGTCTCATGTTAAACAACTATGAATGAATTAATCATTCTCACATCTCCTTGAATTAGCTAGAGTTACGGCTGGGAGTGCTGGCAGGTTTTCAGATTCAAGCTTTTATTACTTATTTAGCTGCCCATTTGATGTATTCTAGGATAGCTCAGATGGCAAGGCAAGCGGCTGGTGATCGGAAGGTCATGGTTCGAATCCCATCCAACGACGACATTGTGTGTATGTAATAAATTATCTTGGATCTATGTGCGCGTGCTTTGACAGAAATAATGACACAAAAACACTAAAGAGAGAGAGAACAACCAACCCTGCTCTGTCCCGTTCTTATTTTCGGATTAATTATCTCGTAGTTTGAATAATCGTTTAATAAATGTATAATATGGTCCAAATAAATATTATTTCACATGAGAATCAAGCGTCTATACACACCTTTATATCATCGCTGTTTAAGGAAGTAATAATGTCTACTAAACGCTGAATAATCAAAAATTTAATCGAATAAGCTTTGTTATAACTTTGGTAAGTTGAATAAAAGCTTCTCGACATACCTTGTTCAACACCAAATATTTCGATGTTGTGGTTGAATAAATTCTCCAGATTTGTGTGAACAAAGCCTGAACAGAAGTTATTATTAAAAAAATACAAGTATTATTAAGCATGAAGTGGAATAAAATCGTCAAGAAGTCGTTTCTTCAATAGGCAATTGTTTGTTGGGTAATTCCTTCACCTCGTAGTGTTATTAGTTTTCGAAAATGAGCTTTCATCCGTGAGAAATCGACGATTGACGTGTTTGTTTACAAATGCAATTACGCCCAAATCTCAACTCACTCTGGACTTTTGAACGATCACACACAAGAAAAAATGTTCTCACTTGCATTTGCCGACTTTTGCCATTTTGACCATTTGTATGGAAAGTTTTGCTATAAGAAATGCTCTTCGTGTTTATTCGCGAAATTCACATCAAAGATTGATCACTTGCATAAGAAACCAATTTGGCAAGGCTTTTGTGATCAGCATACACCTTCTAATCGTATGAAAAAGGTCCAAACCTGACCGTAGCCCACCAGAAATTATCCCACATACCTTGACGGAGGACAACGAGTGATACAAGCGGAATAACCAAAACAATATGGAAAATGGTGAGAGCGGAGCCGGTAGATGAACTTATAGGATATTGGCAAATCTCTTGATTTGTTTTCCGTCGATCTTGTTTTCCGTGCTGAGCATCAATGCTACCGACGCCAGGCAGGCAGCTTCCACACCTGGACCCTACCCTACCTATCGACCCATCACAACTCATGAACCGGGGACCAACGGCTTTACTTCCCTTACCGAAGAAAGGCGTGATCAGAGATGTTATGCCTCAGAATATCCCGGCGGCGCCGACTGGGATTGAACCCAGGCTTGCTGGGGTGAGAGGTAATCACGCTTACCACTACACCACCGGCGCTGCTATTGCCGAATCTCTTGAACTGGGCTAAAAGAAAGCATGAAGAGATAAATTTCCTGGATATTTCCTGGTTTCAGTTTATTTACGCGTTGTATTATTTTATGAGCGGTTGCGTCGTGCTCGCATCAAGGAGATGGAAGTTTCCACTTACACTTAGATCAATCGACTACATTCGACCATAGGATTGATCCCCTTTAAGGCGGGACTATGATCGGAACTGCTAACCCGAACGTGACAGAGCTGCTTGCATATGATTCACTTGGACTGATTTGGTGAGATTGTTCCATTTTTTCTACTTTTATTCATTTAAACTTAATTTCTATGAATCCGATTAATCAGATGAGACTCTGAACTTTTATTTGTTTACATTATATTTTGATCAATATTCTTAGGAACCTCCCAATATTTAAATTGAGGAGCTCGGCTAGCTTGGTGGCTGCTGCTTTTGCTTACTGAGTTGAAGACCGTGGGTTTACTCCCAGGCTTCTCCAAGATAAAACGATTACCATGGTCGCATCGCCTGCTTAAGCGAATCCTGACCCATCTGCAACCCAACTATCCAACTGAGTCGCTGGCTTTCCAATAAGTAGATGTTACATCGAAAATATCCTTCCTTTCCCCGTAACGGAGAAGATGGGTGTGGCCGGCAATGGTAATTGTCATGCTTTTCCTGTTCTGAACATTGATTGGAGAGCTATTCACTCCCAAATAGTTTTCATTATGCAATCAAAATAAGCACGTTAAAGTAGATGCATGACAGTTGCCAGTATGCAATCTACGAATTACTCCGTTACAAACGCAACGCAACGCACCTGGACATAATTCCTATCTGGTCATGGTTATTTCGGGAAGCACCTACATCTGCTCAGACAGGCACCCCTCTGACCGGAGTGTGGAAATCTGGATGAAACACCGGAGCACATAGTCTTCGATTGACTAAGACTGCCCTTCATCTCTTATTCCAGGGACATATTAAAAAGCCAAAACAATGGAGCACCATTGCTAGACTTGTCATAAATACTGGAGGAATTCCAGGACCTTTTGAAGCGTCTCAGTTTTTTTAAATCCTGCCAAAACCGATATATCCAGTTATTTTAAAAATGAGTGTAAAATAATGCTCATCCTAAAAACTAAAATGATCTGTAACCTGATTTTGCAAAAATAGTTAAGAACAGGCAAAACTTGGAAATATATATTTTACGAGAAAAGAGTTTAGCAGAGGCGTATTCTGGTAAGGAGATGGAGCGTGGTACCTTGTGATATAAAATATATTACGTACGTAAACCGACCTTGCGATCCAAATATCAAATTGCTGTAACATTTCGTCAATTTGCAACGAAACTTCTCGAAACAATATCCAAACGGCCACAAATCAGAGCGATTTTGATTACACCTCTGGAATACCAAAACATTTTCCCCCGAAATACGTTTATTTGGGGAAATTCCTAATATACCGTGCGATGTAACCAAGTTCATGATTGAGAAAGCCAATACCAAGGCTTAGATTAGTTTCTGTATAAACTTGAGTGGCCGTTCCAAACTTTCTGGATCCGATAGGGCCTTTTATTAATTATTTCCTTCAAGAAATGGTAAGCGTTCCTTTTTGGTTTAGCTTAATTATTCAATATAAGGTTACAGCAGAATTATCCATCCCCAGTGTCACCCAGCCAAACTATGCTAGCTCCAGTAGTACGTGAAAGTTAAATATGTATCATCAAATAATGTTTCAAAATAAAAATAAACGGAGCAACCTCTAAATCTCAAACAATAAGTTAAAATTATTTACAGATTAATTTATTATAGTTCAAAATATAAGGAACATATTCTACGAAATAACACACCCTATTTTAAGCATCACGTTTTTAAGCTACACAAAGAAACTCCTTCAAGATCATCAACATTTTTCTTTACTGCGTTTTCGTTGATTACATCTATATTTTCGTTGAAATGAAGGTCAAATTACTGATTGATTATAAATATCCTTGTTTGGAAGCCTACAGAAATGGGAGCATAAAATATACATGCATAGGAACATTGAAGTTTATTATATATCAATAGCAACAATAAATAGTCGTAGTGTGCTTTTCGAGTATATTGATTGTTATTCCAATCTCCAATTACAGCCGAACCACAATATACGATCATTGTTAAACAATAAAATCAGAAAGGGAATAGAACATCCATTTTTGCTTTTTATAATGCAGTCATAAGCGGTATTTACTAATTCCATTTTGATTAAAAAAATACTACCAAAAACGCACGTAGCACGTTACTCAGTGTGAAATAGATTCAACTGTGTTCAACATCATTTCAAAATGTTCTCACTCAATTGACCAAAGGAAATTGAACAACAAAACATCTGTTCCTGAATCATTGCTGACTAGGGAGAAAGAGAATTTCGCATCGTGTTAAAATAACTTTGCTTTCTTAATTGAATAATGCGACACTTTACCACTAAAGGCATTTCAGCGTATAGAAATCCAAGATCCACTAAGCAAAGGTTCATATCTCCTTACATTCAGTTTGTCGCGCGATACGGAGCTAACTAGACGTTGAACATTCCTCATTCGAAACGATAGCAATACCTGTAATAAAAGTGAGTTTGCATGAAATGCGATTTTTTTTTAGTGAGTAAGTTCGTCCGGATCTCTAATGAGGGAAATTCTACTTGACCGGCATATCTATTGCATTTTTCGATGGTTCACTTTTGCTGCATTTTGAGCACCAAAATTTTCTCGCTATTGGATCCATTATTATAAAATATACAAACAAGATAAATCCTTGCAACGGTGCAGTTAGACAGAATAAATAGGAAAAAATGTTTCCCGCACGAATTGTTATCATCATCCCAAAAATCCACGGCAAACCAAGAAGAAAGAACAAAAATAATGAAAGCCTTATTTGTGACAAAGTGAGATCTCTATCAGAAGATCGCGTCAAATTATCTGGAACACTGAACACATTATAAATTATTAAAAGAAAACTGCCCATATTTACCAAAATCACTACTCCGATCGGTAAAAGCAAACCGTAATACAAAGCTGTTCCATGGGGGTAGCAAATATCAGAAATGTTATCTTGTTTGTGGTACATGGTGTAGTCGACTGCGGCAAATACAATTACCGGTATCAGTGGTAACCCCCAGCTCAAGAGTGATGCTTTCAGTATGAACCGAGAAGGACGCAAACGACCCAGAACTTTCACATAACGCAAAAATTGCAGATATGCAATCACCAACATCCACATAAATGTTACAAGAATGATGTAATGAAATGCTCCACCCAGAAGAGTACACTGTATTTTACTACTGCGTTCATTGTAATTAATATCCGGTCCATCGAGAAAAATTATAACCATTTCAATGGCAATTGCCAATGACAATTGTAGCAAAATTTTAGAATTTGCAGTACTTCTCCATGTTGGAAACATGGAAGCAGTAACGAAAATTCCAACCACCCCCAATAAAGAAAGTGCACTTCCTATTGCCGTTATGGTATCCAAAGCAAGTATTGTGTGTTCACCGATAAATTTTTGTAACACATCGTCACTTTCAATGTGTTGAATATCCATACAAAGCCTTGAGAATGGTGTCAAGTGAGAGCATTTGCATAATGTTAACTGGTCATTTTGTTGAGCTAGACTGCATCCTCCAAATGACCATTTCGGCATCATATCTACATCTTCGGGTTCAAAGTTCCAATATCCACAGCTACTGGTGCGATTTGCGTCGTAATCCCGGAAAAATATTGGAACAACTCCAGGTAAATCTGAACTATAGCCAGGGATAGTCACGCTTATGATTTTACTGTTTGCTTTCAGAATAGTGCCATTCGTTGTTTCCTTGAAAACGTTGTCGTTGAAGTATATTGAAACAACTATTCTGAATACTTGCTCGTTGGTAGTAACATTTTCGTCTATATGTTCTTTGAGTAAAGTAATTTTTTCCAATAGCTGCCTAGGAACATACGCGGCGACTTCTAAATTTTCTTCCATCATTATTGCGTTTTCATCTTCATCGGCCGATATCAATCTGGAAAATAGATTCAAGTTATCCAAACATTTCAATTATAATATTAAGCATCTGTGTACTAACCGCGTATCAAATAGATCAAAATTAGGATCAGTAGAATTTGATTCTACATTTGATCCGTTTATTCTGGTTAATGCAATTCCTGATATGCCACTGATGGACGGATCTGCTACTAACAGAATCAACCTCGATGTTGTAAATAGAATAGTGCCGCGTTGTTTCTCTAATACGCCATCCGCTTCGAGAGTTCGTCCTTCTCCATCAAGACAATTTAGACTGTCACCTCGAAGAAAATTTACAGAGTTGTTTGTGACTGATAACTGATTTATAATGTCATCCGTGGAGTCAAGAAGGATGTTTGTCGTGTTGAGTGCTATTTGCGAACGAAGTACAACAGATTCGTTCATGTACATTACTCGATTCAGAATACCAGCTATGCCGCAGTAGTAGCTATCTGTTTTATTGCCAATTATGGCGACATTATTACTACCATTATTCAATAACGAAGATCTCATATGATCCATTGTCTTGGAAAGGTAGAATAAATCGGCGGGAATGATATCGATCGCAGAGTCTATTACATGCTCTATTTTACCCATCAGTTGAACCATTTCATCAACATTCAAAGAAGTTTCTGTATAATTGAACAATTCCATTGTATGTTTATTCACCACTTTGCTACATTCTAAATATCCCTGAAGCTGCTGCCAAACACCGCCGTACGTTCTATCACCGATGCATTTTCTTGTCAATGGAAGACCACTCGCTTCAATGAGACACAGGTTCTGTGGAGCAATTGTTTGTCCAATTCGTGCCGAGAGCCATTTCAAACCATCGCTTGTGTCCTGAGGCAAACAGATTTCTGTGCTGTTGATGCCCTTGAACTGATATTTTCTATTGTTTGTTGATTCAAATAGAAATTTAAGAGCTTGCTTCAGATGGTAGTGCTTTTCAATATACTCCTCATTACCTGCAATAGACACAAAGTAGACATCACATATAGTAAAATTTATATAATAGAAACAGTATTCAGCATTCAGACAGTGTAATTAAATCAATAAATTTACTATTATAATCAAATAAAATGTTCTTAAATATCGGCAGTAACGTGGTTGTTATTGTCCATACTTAAAACCATAATCAAGGTAACTTAACTCATAAAGATTCTATTTTTCAAAACCAAATTTAAAAATTATGTTTATGTGTTTGATATGTAGGTATGTCACCACACTAATAAGACACAAGACAGTAGCCATAATACATATTAAAGCAACTTTTTTATTTCAAATAATGTGGAATTTCCCTCCAGGGGTAAATCTGGCCATCCTTGGGGGGAGGAATTGTGCTGCCCTTCTACAACTATAAATACAACGGAGATGATCTAGAAAGATGCTAAAAATCTCCCTAGCAAAGATTTTAAAAAAAAAACTATGCATACATTATGTTGCTTCATGAGTAATCTAGATGCACTAAAAACCTTACGTTTCTGGTTGTATGCTTCTGGAAGAATATTCTCTACCACTCCCGCGGATTTCGCATAAGTTTCTTTGCGGGTTCGTCCCACCGTTTATGGCCCTTCATACAGGAGTATGATGAGTATGATAAGAAATCAAATCTTCATTAAGTCATGTAGAATGAACAGTCCATTGCAATGTGCCGGCGCCTTGCTACAATAGGTGGTTGAAAATTCAAAAACTTCACTACAAATCAATGGACTCTAGTATGTTTACAACAGTATATGTAAATATGTATTGTATCGTGCGTTAGTTTAATTTGACTTTAATTAACTTTCTAGTTTTTGTTGGAGAGGAAACGGTGGTGAGCAATATTTTAAAAGGTGGTCTGGTTCAAAAAAGGTTGGAAACCACTGGTTATTCATTCTCCGTTCACTCACCAATATTGGTTAGCAACATTTTAGAGCAGGTCTACCCAATGTTTTTGAACCGAAGGCCAAATAGCCGGCGCCGGTGGTGTAGTGGTAAGCGTGACTGCTTTTTCACCCCAATGGGTCTGGGTTCAATCCCAGCTGAGGTCGGTGGGGTGCGATATCCTACGCAGGTGTGGAAGCTGCCTTCCTGCACATTCGATTGCCATCAATGGATGGCAATCGATGTCCGTCGGTGATTGGCACTAGATTGCAGAACAGAGACCGACGTTAAATAAAGGAAAGAAGAAGAAGAAGAAGAAGAAGAAGAAGAAGGCCAAATTTTAGAATTCATATCAGCTGGCGGGCCTTCGACATATTGACTTGTAGAATCAAAATAACACTACGCGGAATGTCAACCAAAGGTGGCATCGGCTTGTGGAAATATCGACTTATGGAGAGTACGATGGATGGATAATTGAAAGGACCGCTAAATCTATCGAGCTATAGAAAATATAGAACTGACTCTATTCTAACAAAAAAAAATACATACTTGTAACTCAACAAGGTGCAATATAGTGCAGGTTATCTACCATACATTTAAAACTACAAGTTATTTGCTTCAACATGACGGTAAAACCATTACATTGTTAACGACTTTATGGAATTTTTAGTGAAAATACACGCTAGGGTGAATAAACATTCAAACATACTGCTTTCCACTGGTCTTTCGATTCATATTGACATTCCTAACAACTGTGCCAGTGAACTTGCGCTTTGGATGCTCCGCTAAATGCTGTCCGAAAAAAAACGTCAAATATCTTAAAAATTAAACAAAATACAAACTCGGTGTTTTCGACCAAGTTGGTTGCAAGAGTAATATTAGAGATGAACTAGCCTTAGGCTAAAAATATCTATAATAAAGGTTTAAAAAACAAAATGCAAGAGTAATAACATAAATTTTCTAATACACTTTTAGGGGAATTATCGATATGAAAACTTCAAATGATGCGCATTAGCATACCAAAAAAACATCTCCGAAGACATCACACCTCTAATGTGTCTTATTATGGCGCTAATTAATAAAAGCACGAAAATGGTATTTTCAACCACTGCCCATTGCAAGCAGGGCGTCACAAGATCAGCTTCAATGGACCAAATCGATGCAACGAAGAGACTGCTAGATTTCTTTTTCTGTTGAAGTCGAGCAACTTCACTGCATTGTACCACCTCAGCCCACCGTAGAATGCTGTGAAGTTGCTCGACTCTCGACTCTACAAACAAATGTTCAATCGTTTGCCTCTCTTTCTTCTGTCCCTTCATTCGTCTTTCATCCAAACTTCGGTGAAGCGGATGAGTGAAAGAGCGCTCGACTTTGATGATTCCGTCTTTCATGAAACACATCAACCGAGGTTTCATGACGTATATAACGGAAAATGAAAATATATACTTTGACTATATGTTTAGTATTACTGCCAGTGGTGGCGGGGGGAGGGGGCACCCCTCACCATCCCTCTCCAAAGGGGGATTTGTACCTTCCTTAAAAGTTGTCCTAGCTCGCTATCTACTTTCTATATGCAATTTTCACACTGCCGTAATCTAAACGGAACTATCAATTCTATACTTTTATCTTCTCCTCATCTATCGTATGAAAATTTTCAGTCTGTTATTCGAAATAGCATCTTCAACTATGAAAATATATATTTAAAGCATTTCTCGTGTGAAAACACTTGAAGATTATAAGTGATATGTTTAATTTGTCTTCCATCCACATAATTATCCATAAAAAGTAACGAAAACGGGACATAACGAATATTAAACAAATTGAAGGAGCGATGACAGAGTGTCAGTCAAAGGGATTGAACGCCAAAATGAGATTTCGTTTCACTCGAAAGTCGACGACACTTTTATTGAAAGGAGTGAGCAAAGCAACGATAAGAAAATCCACAGCCAGCCTTTCATTCTAAACGTAGTTCTTTTTCATTTTCGGCTAATAGCATAGCTAGGCATTAGGGGAATTTACGTATTCTCGGCAACCTAAGCAGCGACCTTCTTTCTATAGCCTTTTTCTCTAAGGAACGCACACATATGCAGTATTAGTTTGTTTACAATCTTTTGCTGCCAGCTGCTCTAACAATTTCAGTCGAAAAAATTGTCAAAAACTGTTTTGAAACGCTTTTACAAAGCGCCAATCTTCTCTAGTGAGAGCGAGTATTGTCGGCAACCAGTTTTTCTTCGGCAACCGTTCCATTTGAACTGCATGTAAATCTGCTGTTCTATTATCGGCAACTCGAAATCAGCTACAATTTGTAGTGCGTGTGTTGCATTTCAAGAAAACCTTGCTAGATTGCTTTTTCTCAGTGGTAAAAATATAGTCAAATTGAAGCTGAAAGCATATAGAATTGTTTGCATGCATTCACCGAAGCGTTTTCGTAAGAAAATTCAGTGAAAATAGTGTTTCAATTTGGGTTGCCGAAAATAGTCTGTCATGCCGAAGCCGTCATTTCCCCTATATAAATGATGCGTTAAACACGTTGAGCCATAACTCCTAAAAATTGATAAAGTGTCCTTTGTATACACTCGATTCTGTTTATAAGTAATTTTCCTTTTTTTCGATTTTGGTTTAGGATGAGTACAGAAATTTTAATACCACCATATTTTTCATTGATTTTTTTTTTCTGATTTAAAATAAGTTGCACAACACACTCTCATATTCGGTAATTTCTTTCCGGAATCTCAAGAGCTGAATGAACGGCGATCATTTTTAAGTGTGTAGAATTGGTTGTAATACGAGATCACATGATCTGAAATACGGACGATAAAAAATCGCGTCGAATCAGAACTGAGCGTATTGGGGTAGCTACTGTGTTACCTAAATTATAACGTACAGGGTAAACGCTCCTACAGTTGCGGTACGTTAGAAGCGTTAGGTTCCTATAGTTGTGTATGGAGACTCCATACACAACTATAGGAACCTAACGCTTCTAACGTACCGCAACTATAGGAGCGTTTCCCCTATACGTTGTGTACGAGTTCCCCGAATACAACGTTTAGTTCGTCTAATTTTACATTGCAAATGCTATGAAAAATTAGACGAGTTATACGTTGTATTCGGGTTACTCATATACAACGTTTTTTCTTTCTTCTTTTTTTTCAAATTCTTTATTAAGGAGATTTTTAGCCTATGGCTAGTTTATCTCCGGACAATCGTATACAACGTAAATTCGTTATAAGTCAGGTAACATAGTAGATGTTTTTAAATTATATTTCGTATTCTCTTATCTCTTAGTTCCCAATGTTGTATAGAACAAGGGTGCCGCAAAAATTTATCCACAAACACCTAACCACCTAGCGGTGACGGTAGTGTAGTGGTAGGCATTATTGGCTCTCAGCCAAAAGGTCTGGTTTTAATCCCAGTTGGCGCCGCCAGAATTTTCTGAGGCATAAAATCTCTGATCAGGGAAATGAAGCCGTTGATCCCCGATTCATGAGTTGATGGGTCGGTAGCTAGGATCCAGATATTGGAGATGCCGCCCTGGCATTGGTAGCATTGGTTCTCAGTACGGAAAACAAAATCGACGAAAAACAAATAAAAAAAAAAAAAATCCCAACCTTATGTGATATTGTAATATGGTTGCGCCATATATATAAATACGTTCATTTATAGTACCGTTAAACGGGGTATCTTTGATAATGCGGGTAACTGTGATGGTAGAATACAATGATTGAATTTACTCTCTGCGCTTTTCCGAATTGGAAACATTTGTTCCATATTGTAGCTTAAGGCATTTCCGTTGATATGGTATATAGTTTTTATATTGTATGTGTCAAGAAATAAATTAATTGAGTTTCACGCAGTTTCTTCTACATTCAACGAGGATTATCAAAGTAACCTCAAATAAAAATACTGATGTTCGGTCACAAGACTAAAAAACTAGGGCAAATGATTTAATTTCCGTCAAGCATAATACTAACGAATTGACTCAAGGATCATCAGTACTTGTTTTAAAAAAATAAAATTTGAAGAAAAATAATTGCTGTAAAACATATTTAGAATATACTTCAAAAAACTATCAATGTTACCCCGTTTTACGGTACTTATTTGT